TTCAACTGTTTCCACATCCTTATATGAGATATTAAAAAAAAAAAAAAAAAGGTTAAAGAAAAAAGAAACCTTCTAAAACCAAAAAGGGGCTCAATAGCAACTGCAAAAATGATCTGCCCTGATGCTACCTTACACACAGCCAGGACTACTGGAAAGGGACACACTACCAAGCACATGGTTCCCTAAGCCATAGTATAACAGTACTGAAAAAGACCATTTTTTTATTGCATTCCCCTCTTCCATTAGCCAGAATATTTATTTACAGAGATGGCAAGTACCAATCTCATATTATAAGGCCTAATTACATTAAAATTTTGCCCTGATTCAACTGGTAAGTAGTCAATTAGTACCAATATAAGCCTCTAATTTAGAAAGGGTAAACTAAAGCGAGGTACAATTTGCCTTACCTGAAGTGTGTCAGTGATGAAGCGTTGAATCCTTTTGCTGGAACTTGTAGGCAGCTATATAACAACGACAGGAGGCTACACCAAGCTGAACATTACTGCACATTTTTGGAACAGCACAATGCACTCTAAACATCTGGAGGAGACACCCCAACCCCTGCAACTAATTGTATCTCTCTGTATCATCCTTTCTATAAAGCTGTTCTCTGATTGTGAGATCTCTGAAAAAGAATTCATGTCTACAAATTGCCCAGTGCAATGGAACCTAAATCTTGGTTGATATCTGCACAGATAAAGGAACATTCTGTATTTTTTTTTATAAAAAGCATACACAAATAGACCACCCCATTGAGCTCACCCAGACTGGAATGTCTTCTCTGGGAAGAATCATGTCTACCAGGCCTGCTGTGAGTACAAACTGAATGTTTACGGAGATAGTTTGGAGACAGTGGCAGACTGTGGACTATGAGGAGGAGGATGGCTTGACCTTGAAATGCAGAATCATAGAATGGTTGAGGTTGGGAGGGACTTTTGGAGGTCATCTGCTCAAGCAGGGTCACCTAGAGATGACCCTGGACCTAGAGCCCAGGACCATGTCCAAATGGCTTTTGAATACCTCCAAGGATGGAGACTCTACCACCTCTCTGGACAACCTGTGCCAGTGCTTGGTCATCCTCATAGTGAAAAAAGCGTTTCCTGGTGTTTAGAAGGAACCTCTTGTGTTTCAGTTTGTTCTCACTGCCTCTTGTCCTGTCATGGAGCACCACTGAAAAGAGCCTGGCTCTGTCCTCTTTACACCTTCCCTTCAGGTATTTATATACTCTGTCCTCTTTACACCTTCCCTGCAGGTATTTATATACATTGATGAAATCCCCCTGAGCCTTCTCTTCTCTAGGCTAAACAGTCCCAGCTCTAAACTGAGCTGGGATATCAGTTGTAAGATAAGATCTCATCAGCCCACCACTGTGAGAAAAATGGCATCCTGGATTTTTTGACTCGGAGACCACTATGGAAAAAGGGCTTTTTTGTTCTAGCCTAGGGATCTTAAAATACTGTAGTCAACTAGACTATTAAAAACTGTGCAGTTCTGAGCAGTCTGTACTATGTTGCTGTAACATCTTATTACATATTTCTGGACATATCTCTCCCCAAGGGGTAAACATCTCTTTCAGACTAGCTGAAAGAGCCAGCATGAGAAACACTGAGGCTGAAGCCAGGACTTGTCCTTGGAGTAGGGGAGCTAGAGAGAGGCCTATTTTCTTGCTTTAAGGGATTGATTTCCTGGGAAACTGTATAAAGGTCAGAAGCACATTATGCTCTATGCGATTGTGAAAAAGCCTCTGGACACTGGTGTTACATAAATATTTACAACTACCATTACTAACCAAACCTGCTTCCAGCTCCTGCTCCTCCCAAGGAAGAAAATAGGGTAATAGGGAAGAATTGACTTGGAAGAATAATAGCAGTGACAGTCTAACCTGAAATCACTAATGGAAACTGCACGCTTATCTGAACAGGAAGAGACAATATGAAAAAAAAAAAAAAAAATCAAGGAGCATCTGTAATTTTCCAATGCAGATTACAGAAGACTGAAAGTCAGCTGTGACAAGAATGGTAACAGCACCATGCTTTTGTTTTCTTTATTTTACCCTTGAGCAGATAACCTTTCATATTTTGGTGGAGTAGACATATCAGTGATGATGTTTTCGTGATGTTGCAAAACTCCACTTTCTTCTCATCCTTCTGGGAACAAATTCATCCATGTCATTTAACCACAGCACAGCTTTATGAAGAACAGAAAGACTAGAGGCACAGCAGTTTGTGGGGAGACAATAATATCTATTGTCCGTATCAAAAGCTAGCTGAGGAACTGTCAATAAAATGATATTCATAAGTGACAACACACTAATTTGGTGTCAGAGAACCCAAGCAGAAATGGTATTTGACTCACTTATTTCATATGTTTTTAGGTGATCCAGGACGCAAGCAGGCAACTTGCAGCTCTGGGGTTATGTGTGGCTTGCTAGCAGTTCAGATGTGCCTCCTGTAAGTGTGCTGTATCAGACAGTCAGTGGCAGGACTACACTGGTGGTGAACAGCTGGGTAATACAACAGCACAGCTGCAGAAGGAAGTGAATAAGCAAGGATTGCTGGGGCAGATACTGAGTGTCCTTGAGATGCAGCCACATGCTTAGGTTTGTGGCTGAACCCTGACATATGGTGGAAGCACTGAGATCTATGAAGAAATATTGTTTTTTCCTTTTTTGGGGACTACTCCTAGAGTTCCTCTTCCTTTTAGCTCTCAGAAGTGTGTATTAGCTGTCCTAAGGCATGCGACCCTCCACTTCAGTGGGACCAGGGTGCCCAAACCTCTAAGGCACTTTTGAAAAACCTCATCCACAAACTGCAAATACATGGGAGTATGAATTAGTTGTGATTAATATAATAGACATTCAAACTGAAAAGAAGAAACTCTTCTTAAGCCTTCTCATTGAAGAGCAGGGCTTGAAAGAATCCCCAGAGCCTGTGACATTTCAAGTAAAAGTTGAAATAGATTTAGTGTAGTCATTCCCATGCTTTGACAGTAGAAACTCCTACTACCTTCTGGGCTTTCAGATGTTACGATACTGTTATATTTACTGTTTTGCACCTGGAAGAAGGTGCAAAGGATATGCATAAAAGGGTATCACATTTTATGCTGTGGAATTGTGATTCACTTAGGTTTAAAGAAATACACTTTGGTCTTATTGTATTGTAGGCCAGCCCATTATGAACATTAGCAAAACCTACATTGTGTATCCATCAGTGAAAATAAACAAGACAAAACATAGAAGAAACAGAAAAGTTTATGCTAAAGGCCATTAAAGAAATTACCCAATGTTCAAAAAATTGAAATGTATTTATTTTGCATCAGTTTCCCAAGTATGACCTGAGATTTCCACTACGTCCCTTTCTTATCTCTGCTGCCCATTGAAACAGTATTTGAGAGAACATTTATTACTATGGAGTCAGCAAAAGGCCAATGACAAAAAAGCTGACAGAAGGTTGACAGACTAAATTTCATCCAGCAGATTCGTTTCCTGCATTTTCTCCTGTAATCATTTCCACCACACATCAACACTCGGACTGGCCTACTCTGGAAATACTTTTTTCATGATACATGTTCCAGAACTTGTGTTCCTGAAGACTGTAAACTTTTCACTCACTGCATTTCTGTTAATTGAGCTACGGATATTTCTAATTCCTGAGTCCTATACTCCAACAGACTGTTTTCAGTCTTTTCTCCACCATCCATGTGGAATCTTGATTCAATGCAGAAGCTGAAAGGGTCACCCAAATGCTTCGTTCTGGTGTACTGCTATGGTCAAGCTTCCAAAGTTAATGTTCTAGGATGCACATAGCACAACAGAAATAAGAAAATGAGATTAGATATGGGTATATAAATGGCAGCAGGAGTTTGACTCTGTTGGGCCTTTATAAATGGCAAAATTTATCAAAAGATTTCTGAGAATTTAATGGAATTTAAAAAAAAAAAACCAAAACAACAAAACCCAAACCAGTTCTGTTTCATGATTGACACAAAGGCCAAATAAGCAGGTTTGGCATTCCACAGATCAAAAGACAGTTGTGCTTATATAAAAGATGTTAACTAGAACAGGTACACTATTCATTTGTGACATGAGAAGATAATCAGAATAGCATCTCTTGATCACAGTTGAAGATACTTCAGTCTCTTTCTAGATTAAAGCAGCCCTTGTTAACATTGGCCACGGGATAATGTTGGAACCACTGGCACTTAAAAGCGCCTCTAGTCCTCCTTTTCTGGTTTGCAAGATGTGGCAAAATAAAAATCTTTCTAAATGAACTGTCACATTTAGCTGATGACATTTGGTCTACATAATACTTTACAAACGCTGATCCTGTGTAAGTTCTGGAGTAAGGAACAGCCTACCTACCTAGTCTCTTTTTCATATTAGTGGACTTCTGATGTAGAAATTTCTTTTAAAAAAATTGAATGATCTGTTTCTGTTAGGCACCTCTACAAGCTCTGCCTCATTGCCATCCAGGTACTAATAATCAGAGAGCAAAAGTATGTTACCACCTTTGGCAAGCACAAGCATATAGGTGATGGAGCACATTTGCAGTGACTGCCAGGTGTCTTTAAATAGTGCTTTTCATTAAGTCTTTTAGCAACAGGCAATTTGTTTCCTGCATTAAATGGCACTTGCATTTCTAGTTGTCGTATTTGCAAAATGCCATATGTACAATTAGAGGCTACAAGAACTTTGCATGCAAAGAAAAGGACAACAGCTAGTGTGGTGTACGAATGTCGAAGTTTATCTCATATATTGAGGTGGGAGGGTAGATAATATCTCTACAAATCTAATTTTGGCTAAGAATCCTGCTGGTAACTCTTGGTGTTGCTGCAAATGAAACAATTTTGTTGTCATTGCTCAATTCAGAATAGAAGCATTTCAAGCTCAATAAGCTAGCTTTCACCTCACGTGAAGCTCAGGGCAGCTCCATTCCCACATTTCTAAGTGGTGCATCTCCAGTGCACTAAAACCTAAGAAACACCAAGGGTATGCTTCTTCCCTAGAGTGCTTCTGTAGGAGCTGTGTAGGTGTGAGATTCATCCGGTCCTTTTGGTTTTGTGTCTTTGTCATTGCAGATCTCCACCTCGTGAAGTCCCGTCATACTATTTTTGTTGCCATCCATTAGGTCTTCTGCCATCTCTGTGCTGCTCTTGTTGCACTGACAGAAGTCACTGGAGCTCTCTAGAAAGTTGATGCAAAGTTTGATAACCAGTGCTAGCCAGGCCATCCCAAAGAGGATCCACAGAGAGATTACATTCTTGTACCAGCCTGGATATGTGCGGTCTGGGTTCATCCCTACAAAAGAATCGCCCAAAACATTTCTAGACTGGATCAGGAGTGCCTCAAAGGAGACATTACATGTAAAGCAAAGGCAGTGGAAATATGACCTAATATTAGCAATTTCTATATAAAACATGAGTATGCCATCTACTTAGCATGTGAACAGATGTTGTAAGCAAGTACATTTCACGACATGTCAGCAACAGCCTAGAACTCCCTAAGAATTGCAAAGATTACCCATAAGAAAGAAAAATAAATCTCAAATTACATCTATGTCAAAGTGAGATTATTCATATTTAAGCGCACAGTTTCATTTCTCTACTTATCACTCAACATCACAATACTGTAGTAGTATGTAACAGGGGTCCCCTGCAGGCAGAGAGGTAAGCAGATTTTATGTACTGGTGTATGTATCTTGTTAAGCCAGATAAATGAGTCTCTAAGAGCAGATGGGAAGGGGCCTGAGCAGTCCTAAAATCTCTAAGAACAACCAAGACTTAGAAGACACCTTGAAATTATGCTACCTGTCTGGTTGCTCAGCTAGGTACTTTGTGATCCCTTTGGAGCAAAGCCGTATTTTTGATTGTGTTTCCACAATATTTAGAGCAAAGAGGCTGCTACATGCTAAGTTAGTGTCAGTAGTATTTTAATAATAATAATATGGGCAAAACAAAGACATGAGCTCAGCCCTATGAAGTGACTAGGCTGTATCTGTAAAGCAGGCTGGGGTACCCTTACAAACACAGGTAAGGAACAGGATACAAATCAGTGACAGCAAACATTTGCATGGGCTTTTCCTCTACCGCTTCTCAGGTCTCATTATTTTCCTTACCTTAGGAAGGTTTGTCACTTTATAACTGAATACCTACAGCACAGCAGATACTACAGAACACCTGATACTTCCATGACAGTGTGTGAGGAGTTAAGATGTATGAGGTGGTACCTCCATGAACCTGGAGACCACTCTCCATACCACATTCCAATGAAAAGAACACATAGGGCTGGGTTGAAATGGGACATCCACAAAGGCAGGTGTTTAGGTATTTATAACCTGTGACTGGTTGTAGGTAGGAATACTGTCCTGTGATTACCTGCACAGACCAGCAGTTCCCAAATCCTGGTCCATGAACTGTTATCATCTACAAGATTGTGATAAGTAGTAACTGGTCAGTGGAGCCATACTAAACAGCCAACCCTTTACATCCATTTACTTGATATTACTACATATTATATAATACACATTGTATGTGTTTTCAATGTAATGGGACCACAAGACATTTTGAGGTTGTCAGTAAGCCACTGGTGAATGTTTGGGAGCTACCAGCCACTTCTGTGGTAACTACTCTTTGGGCTGGCTTTCTCCATCAAGGTGAACTTCAGCCAGGAAGAGTATTATATTCATCCTTCAAACAAGCACCTTTCTCTGATACTAAATTCAAAGGCTTAAAAATTGTTTACTTCTACACAATAAATGAAAACAAGAGGGAAGGGCTATCTGAGGCTTCCAAGGAGAATGCTTTATCCATATAGACCATCTGATAGATGTAGTCTTGGGGATGAGAAGATCAGAAGCAGTTTAGGACCTACATGGCACCCTGTGTCCAACAGAAGGGCTTAACTGAGTGTATAAATTAACAGATTTCAGGGCCAGTAAGAGAAGCTACATCAATATTACTAAATAAAACTGGCTAGGACCACTCTATGACTTCAAACCCAAGTGCCACAGCCTGGCTTATATTTCCCCCAAAACAGAGTAGCTGTGTCCAAAGTGAACATCGGGCATCACTCCTGGCATGTGGTATCCCCCAGAATTTACCTGGTCCAGAACAGTGCCAGAGATCTCACTAGTGGGCAAACAGAGTGACACTCACTTGAAGCCATGCCCTGGCCCTGCTTATTTTTAAGTTGAGACATAAACTACAAAGACAGGATTGTATTGACAAAATGATTTGTCCTCTACATACCACAGGTCACCAATATATTCAGTTATTCCCATACTGAACCTAGCATACCTTTGGTGGTATGCCAGTTACAAAGGTACCACAGAGGTGAAGGTACGCCTGGAAGTGGGAGGTATACTAGTGAAGAGCTTCAAAATAAGTTATCAGGAACTGAGAGAAGTAAAGCTGCTGCAGCACAGAGTTCAGCATCAACCATAAAATCAGCGTAGGAAAATGCTGAACTAGCTAGCTTTTGTTAAACTCCATCTGGCTACCCTTACCCAAGCTAACTTGCTTCCAACTCATTTAAGTGTACCTACACAAGCTCTAGTCATAACTTTGATGCATTATAGACAAGTCCTAAGGTAACTGCCACCAAGTTGTCTAAGCATCAAGCAAGCACTACGAAGAAAAGAAAACAAAGAATCCGTAATAAGATGTTTTAGTCCTTCTGTCTCCCAGGGATTCAAGGGTGCATGTGTTTCTATAATCAATTTTTTTTTTTAATGAGAAAGTCTTTATCAAAAAGGTGCGTCCTGTGTTTCAGCAAATGCATCGGGCGTGGGTCCAAACCCATTTCCTCTGGCAAAGGGTTTTGGCAACCAAAACTAGGCTGTGCCTGGTGCCTGACAGTCTACACCTAAGTGACTTAAGCTGCCTTTTAGAAAGCAGTTGTCTGGGGTTTTGACAGAGGAAATGGTCACTGTCTGTTAATGGTGATGCAGAATAGCATCTGATTAAAACTAATTGCTGCCGACACACTGGAGTGAACCAAGTGCGCCATCAGTGACTGCTGTGATTAAAAATGTAGCACTCCAGTTTGGTGTTGCAGTCATTCAAGGGACAGACCACCTGAATGCTGGAAGATTACTCATTGACTGGGAAACGATTTCTTTGCTCTTCCACAGGTAGCATTGCTATCTCAGAAATTACATCTTCTCCAACCTGTCAAATGCCTACCACAACATATTTATCATCAGGTCTGTGGATTGCTAGTGGTGTAAAACCGCCAAGTTGGGAGCTTCATAGGCCACATATTTGGCTTTGATGTTTAGTAGGTGAAAGCAATGAAATGTGAACTACTCACCAATCACATAATCTCCAAACCCTATAGTGCTAAGGGTAATGAAGGAATAGTAGAAGCCTTCTTCGTAAGACCATCCTTCTTTGTCAGAGAACAAAAAGGGAGGTAGCAGGAGGAACAATAACAAGCCCGTTACCAGCGCACAGGTCTTAATCAGGAGGGAAGCTTTTTTCTAGCAAAACATAAGAAAAAGAAGAGACTGTCACAAGAAGGGTGGCAGAGAAAGTCCAGCTCAGTTTCTGGTTGAAGATGATGCTGGACTCCATAAAAACACACAAACATTCATGACATTCCACTAGAATAAACAGTGTGGCTCTCCCAGTCAACACAAACTGGGCATCACCTTCATGAGTCCTAAATTCATGCCACTTTAAAGCCTGTTCCACAAATGTTCCCATGTAACTTACACATGCAATTCTAACTATGACTGATGATAAACAGACCAGATATTCTAGGACTGTGCATGGCTCTAAGGCTCTGAATGCTTCTGTTGCTGTAGGGGAAGCCATTCATCACAGAAGTTCCCTCAATTAATAAACAACCTTATCTGACACCTCATAGGGCTGTCATAAACTAAATTTATTTGCTTCCAGTTTTTCCTGAGTATTATTACCTTTTTGGCCAAATAGGTAGGCAGACTGTCCTTGTTAGTCAGAGGATCCCACATACCAGACAATGCTCTTTCTGTCTCTTCTTTCCTGAACTTGAGGGTGAGGCATACCTGTCCACATTGCTTACCTGCCAGTGAAACACCTCCTCTAGGCGATGGGTGCAATTCTGAACCCCCTGCAGCATCAGCTGCCCAATTTCGTTCAGGAGTACAAGGTTCAAGGGGATCCCAAAGAGTGCAAACAAGATGCAGAAGACTCGACCAGCCACAGTGCTGGGGCTCAGGTTCCCATAGCCTAGGCAGGGAAGGAATGAGGTGTTAAATCTAAAATATTCTCTGCTTGCCCTCCTCCCCTGGTGGGGTGAACCTCTGTCTTCTACAAAAGTTAGACAAGAAGGTCACTGCTCCAAAAGGACCTTTTTTTTATAAATAACTGTAAGTTACATCCATTGTTTGTCATATCCTATTGTAGCCTGGAAAATAACATTTCTTTCCCTGCCAATTTTGTTTAGTTCCTTTTCCATTTACCAGTGAGTTTCCTCTCCCCTACCCACTGTCCTGGCTGGGGTCTGACGTAAATGCAAAACTTCCGTTTGGTTCAGTTTTTGTAAGCATTGTTGGCATGGGGTTTGCTGGTAAATGATCCTGCATGGCTGTCAGATGGTCTCTGAATCACAACAATAGTGTTTTAATTATAACAACAACCTTTTTCTACCTTTGTTCCACAGGACTAGTGAACTTAACACTGCCTCCTTGCTTATAATCCTCTTTTGTGCCACAAGCACCAAACACACTGTAAGCTTAAATTGTCAAAATGTTTGCCTAGAGTCAATAAAAAATACATTTAACCTGAGTAAAATACTTCAATTTCAGACCTAAAGAAAAAAAAAATATTTGAAATTTTGTCTTTTTCTTCTAATCATATGAACTGGTCTAATAAAAGTTACTGCCCTGCAAGCACAGCCTTGCTTGTATCCTTAGACCACCATAGCCTCAACATCACTACTGTAATATTTGTCTTTATTCCCCACATTTTCTTTTAAAAATGTCCTGTAAATTTGCACTTCTGTAGTTTCAAGTGGTTTATACTACAGGAAAGTCAGATTTAACTTTGGTTTATTTCACAGGATGCATTTTAAGACAGGGGAAGGACTAGCACACAACAAGCATTTCAACAGTGACTTAGCCAGAAACCTACAGCCTTAACTACGTTTCAAAATCACCTCTGCTTATTAGAGATTTCTGTATGCCCATATACAAGAGTGACATAACCTGGCAAAGCTTATCTTTTCACGACAAATAATGCTATCCCCTCCCAGCGACACCCAACTGTTGGCACAGTGCAAGCACAGAGGTGATCCCGCCACTGACGCCTTGCTACCATGCTTGTAGGTGGTATAGCCCCAGGGCAAGTGCGCAGCCCCCAGGAAAGAGAGAGAGGTCCAAGGGTTGGGCTCTGTACATGAAACAAGTGAGAGTGCAAACATCCACAGTTGACTAGATGGAGTCACTTTCCTTCACTAACCTCTGTCCCACGCCAGCTGCAGTAAGCCACTGACCAACAATGTAGAAAGGTGTGTGACTATGAGCTTGGGATATCTACACGTTCAGTGCCAAGTTCTGTGCTGAAAAAAAATCTCTCACCATGGACAACTCTGCAAACAGTTAATTGTGCACGTGCACTGGCAAACTACCCCCAGAAAAAGGTCTGGCAGCAAACTTCCACAGTATCTATACAGGCTGTCTTTTTTGCTCATTTCTACCCCCCCAAATTCAAAATTTTACTATCTGGAGGACTTCCCTTCTAATAATTTTTAGGCTTCAATGATTTGCGAACCCCTGGGTTTAACACATGCGGTAACACGTAATATACCTCCAAAGCGATGGCCCCAGCAGCCTACCCCTAGGAAGGGGCAGAGCATCCCCCGGAAAGAATGAGATGCTGTTATGTAACTAGAGGTTGTTTTGAAATACAGTCAAACAAAGGGGCTAAATTAAGACTGTACATCAGCCTTAATTCCAGTACTATGCTCTTTGCTTATGAGCAGCTCTGCGATGTTTATGCACTTTTTTCCCCCACGTGTAATTGCTGACTGCTGCCAGCTTTCACCATTTCTAGACTAAAAGGTGTGATAAATGAGACACACGCAGGCAAGTACATCTGGTAGATGATCCCATCTAAGTAAATGTAAGGGATATGTGCCTGGTGTTATCTGTTTCACTCTGGCTGTGCCACATTTCAGCAGATTGGTTCCAGTTTTTTTCTTTTATGGAATGAGGGTGTTTTGTGGGCTGGTCTGGACCCAGGAGAAAGAGCTGGGGGCATTTACTGTAAGGTTGGAGTCTGAACATGAGTCACATACATTTATGGCTAGCCATTCCCAAGGGTGGGGTTTTTTTCTTCCTTCTTTCCCTTCTATATCAAGTTTAAAAAGACTGTGTCATGGCTTGGGCAGTTCTTTTTACCATAGCTTTCCAAGTTACTCAGTCTCTGGAGAAGGACATCAGATAAGAGAGAAAGAAAGGTCCATGATCTCAGGTCACTATGTGAACCACAGCAGACTTCAGGATTTTGGGGATGCCATATAGTGGTGACTGGAGAGCATCTAAGGTTAAGCTGTACATTACATTTACTTTGGAGCAGCAAATTCAATGATGTAAGAAGGTCCAATGTGTACAGTAAGCCCAGCACACCAAATACCAAATGTGCTTTGCATATGATTTATCTGGCTCCCTTCTCCCTCCAGCTCAGCAGCTCAAGACAGTTTCCTGAAGACTTGGTGAGCAGTTACTGTAAATATGCCAAAAAGCCATGTCCCATTAGCTTTTTATACAGGATACAAAGTTTGATCAAACAGCACAGGACACTTAAGATTATGCAAAAATGGCCAGCAATTTATGTCTGACTGATGACATCTTTGCCTTTGGACTACACAAATAGATGCCAACCTAGTCATGTATAAACCTCAATTGTTATAAAACACAGGAATGAGTAAATGGGGCTTACCCGCTTCAGTAAATGGAATGAGGGTAATCAGTCTTACACCGTTGTGGACTATACATTAGAAGATCTGAACCAAGTTCAAAGACTAAAACTACACTGGCAGCTCTATCACATCCCTCATGAACCTGCTACTGGGATGTCACCTGGTACACACATGCACCAAGAGACACTGAGGGATGCTCACCAAAAACTACACAGAGGTAGTTTTTGTGCACAATGCAGTGTGTTTTCACTGAAGCAGCTGGATTAAACACTTGTATACCTTTTCTCATTTTGAAATAAAGTGCAACGTAACTTAATCTTCCTTAGAAGCAGCAAAATTAGAGTGGTTTTGATTCTAAATATTCATACCCACATGCTTTAACTGATGTGCTTGTTACACATATTAAGTAAATTCAGTTTTGTTTTCCTGCTTGCCCATTACATTCCTGTACATAAGGGATTCAGAGGCTCTGCAGACTTGCTAAGAGGAGACTGATGTGTGATTATTATTAAAAGATTAAATAAATATATTAAATATAATAAATATTAACAGATTATTAGTAAAAGACCTCTTCATTTGCAAGACAGTATCCTACTTGCAGTGACCCCGGTTCAGCCCAGGCAACCACGACTTCCTGCTACCCACAATGGGAGGTTTGTTTGGCTCCTGTTCTCATTGCCCAGACATAAAAGAGTATTTTAAGCAAAAAGTGCTTAGAATGAAAAAATGTCTTTCATAGGCTGAAAAACATCTGCAAATTCACCAAATAATTTCAGCTGTAGGAAAACACAGAATTAGATTTTCAAAAGAGCTGGAAGAAGAGTTGCTTCTTTAACCAGTAACTTTATCAGTGGTTTAAGCATTCAAACACATTTTTGGGAAGATTTGGTTTAATTCTTTCTCCTGAGTGGATACAAGCCATCACTTCCCATTGGAATGACCTAATCCCAAATTTACAGAATGTTGTTGACTGTATTTTGTTTTGAACACCCAGACACTCAGCAAAGCCTGGGAGGCCAGGTGTCTCCCCTGAGTGTCTGATGCACAGGGCAGTTCAACAAGGGGTGCCAGCGCTGGAATTACTTTATTTTGCATTACACATTTAAATACTCAGAGAAAGATGCTCCACTTGGCAGTTGGGGTGATATCCAGTGATCCACAATCCTGTTCACCCAGGCACAGGAGGAAATTGCACACTGGTCTCCTACACCCTCAGGGAGTGTTGGAACCACCCGGCTGCTCCCACCACCAGCTCCTCCTATAACACTTTTCAGAAGATCTAAACTTTTCTTTCCCTTGTGCTCCTTACAAATGACCTGAATGTTTTAATCTGAGCTAAATGAAAGTTTTTGTTCATGATGAATTCAAAGGTTGCACTGAGAAAAAAATAAAAATACTCAAATTCAGTTTAGATGGAAAAGATGTCGTCTTATAATTCTGCAGACAAAGTGGGGGAAAAACCCCAAACAAACTTATTGATTACTCACACAGCCTTAAGATATGTTTGTCTGGTTCCTGAAAATGTGAGTATGGCCCCAGCTTAGCTGGAAGGTGTCCCTGATAAAACCCTCAGTAATCTGGTCTGACCTCACAGCTAATTGCTTTAAGCAGAAGGTTGCACTAGAGAGCTTCTGATGTACCAGGAAACCTGAATTATCCTATGATCCTTACAAGCATTAGGATTTTCAAAGGTCACTTGGTACCACCTACATTCAACTGAATATCAGCAAGTCTGGGGTTCCTATGCTCCCTCATACTTTTGAATGTCTCCACAAGCACTAGCTACACAAAACAAATGAATGTACTTGGCTTCTCAAGCTTCTTCTGAGATTTCACATTATATCCACCAAGTCTGCTCTAAGTGCAGGAACACTTGTCAGCTGGACACAGCCACTGAGCTCAGAACATCTGATATGGGAAGTCACAGGTATTTCCAATTCATCCATCCATGGAGGATGACTTAGCTAAGGCCTCCCCATTATGGGGGAGACATAAACAGGACTCAAGCCCCAAGTAGCCCCAGTACTTGCATTGGCATCTCAGTTTTATGATTATACCAAAAAATTAAACAATTTGATTTTAAAAGCTAGCGGTGGCAGAATCTCAGGAACTGTGTCTTATATGGGGAAGCTTATTGAGACCAGGGTGTGTGTGGGAGGTGCCCATCACTACTGATTTTAGCTAGTGCTGTGATGAAGTAGAGACCAATAACTAAGGCTGGGAGGCTAAAACCTGCATTTGAACAGTTATTTAACAGTTCTAGCCCTGTGAAGTTCCAGGCAACAGCAAAATTTAGTTGCACACTCCT